TTTCCCCTTGAAATTCCCAAATTTTCACTCCAAAATCCTCAATTTTCCACCCCAAAAAATCCCCAATTTTTCACTCAAAAAATCACAAAATTTCCCCCAAAATTCCTCCCCCAAAAAACCCCAATTTTTCCCAAAATTCCCCCAATTTTTCCCAGAAACTTCCCAATTTTTTTTCCCCAAAAATCCCCAATTTTTCCCCAAAATTCCTCCCCAATAATTCCCAATTTCTTCCTTAAAATCCCCGATTTTTCACCCAAAAATTCCCAATTTTTCCCCCCAAAAATCCCATTTTTTCACCCAAAAAATCCCTTTTTTTCCCCAAAAAAATCCCATTTTTCCCCCCAAAAAATCCCATTTTTTCCCCCCAAAACCCCAAATTTTTTCCCCAAATTTTTTCCCCAAATTTTTTCCCCAAATCTTCCCCTCCCCCCACCCCAAAAACCCCCCAAAAACCCCAAAATTTTTGGGACAAATTCCGGGAATTTTGGGCAATTCCCACTCACTGCTCCTCGCGCTCCAAGGCCTCGACCACGAGATGGGGGAGCCTGAAAAGGGGGCGGGGCCAGCGTTAGCCACGCCCCTTTTCCCTTACACGGCAGCAAACCCCGCCCCCTTTTCACCATATACGGCAACGCCCCGCCCACTTCCGCGTTGAGGCGGAAACCCCGCCCACTTCCGCGTGTTGCTGTAAACCCCGCCCACTTTGCCTTATATGGCGAAGCCGCGTCCACCCCTCCAAGCCACGCCCCCTCATTTACATTCCCCCTCGAAGCCACGCCCCCTTAGAGCCGCCAGGTCTGAATTGAACGGAAAAAAATCGGGATTTTTAAAGGGAAAAAAATCGGGTTTTTTACCCAGATTTTTCGGGTTTTCCACCCAAATTTCCGGTTTTATGCCAGAGATTCGCGGGTTTTGAGAGGATTTCATGGTTTTCGACCAAAATTCTCGGTATTTTCCCAAAATCTGCATCTTTTTACCAAAATCCCAGTTTTGAAATGAAGGTTTTTGCCATTTCTGAGGCCAAATTCTCACTTTTCCTCGAAATTTCCCAATTTTTCTCCGAATTCTCCAATTTTCACCCCAAAACTTCCGTTTTTTTAGAATAAAAAATTCAATTTTTTTTTCAGATTTTGAAATTAAATTTTTGATATTTTTGAGGCCAAATTCTC